TATACTGCTTCTTGTCGAGTCTGCGAGCGGTATGATCGGCTTATCAAGGGCTAATAATAAATGTCTAAGAAACAGCACACTAAATATCATTAATTCATATCATCTAAGACCACCTTTTTGTTTCATCATCATAGAAAGTCTCATTTCTTCTGTCATGCACCTGAGTGTTCACTCCTGGTGTCAGATCATATGGAGGCGAATATCAGCAGGTCCGCTTAGTAACAATAAGAAAAAGCAAATTAGCACCTACATAATATTGGATAATTTAATGTAATAATAGGTCGACTATACCTTCTGAGTTATGCCCGTGCTGGCATGTATAATTACAAGGCGGCTAATGCAGGCGCCACGAGAGTGATGGTTCAGCTTGGCAAGGCAACAAGCGAAATGAGGCACTTACCCTACAATGCAATTAAAAGAGTGCATAACTGCTGGGCAGCCAATAGGCACGGGTTCTGGCCGCGTGCAGCGCAGGCTAAGATGTAACTGGTGCTTAGCGGTCGAGGGCCTGGGGGCCAATCGCTGGGCGTTGCGGCAGGCAGCCTGGTGGTACCTGGGCTCGTTGCCATCTCCATAGTAAGACTGGTGTATCGTAGGTATCGGCATCAGGGGCTCAAGCCAGCTGAAATTCGCCATTCTTGGGGCATTCGTCGTTTGAAGTTAGGGACCTGTAATAGTCCGTGGCTAGGATTGAAATTATTCCCTCTTCCAATTTCTCAATTTCCCTTCCTCTGCCTTTGGGGTATTTTGTCGTCGTCGCTGTCGTCACCATCAGCATCATCAGCCGTATTTGCTGTCCTCTCTTCTTTCCCGGACCGCCCGCAGCTCTCATCTCGTCACCCCCCCATCTCATCCCACCCCTAGAATAAGAGCTCTAATATTGCGCTGGGCCAATCGCCGCGCTGGCAAGACATCCCGCCCTCAAGCTACTGTTGGTGAGCTGGACCCGGCTCATGCTCCGACACGCAAACTACCTGCTCGACTCCCTGCTGCATGTCCACACCAAGCCGCGTTGCTACGACAGAACACGAGGAAAGGTAGCAGCCAGGCAATAGGAACCCGACAACGCATCCGAATCCTGCGGTATTCGCGCAAGCCGCTCTGGACCCCGGCAGCCGCCCAACTTGCAGCTAAGCGCTGATCTCCCTGCTGCTTCTGGAACAAGAGGCATCCTGAGAGACATCTGCCTTCCTCTTCCGACGGCTTCTCGACGGGCTTTGGCATCCTGAGCAGTCGGCTATTGATTGGCTGCCGCACCTCCAACCCGAGACAGCCAGGTCTCGCCGCCCAAACGCACTTGCGACAGTCTAGCGACTGCAAACAGCCAGCCCCTGCCACTGTGCCGCTAGCCAATTCTGGTTTCTATATTTGAACCGGCCCCTGGACTGTGCCTGGATCTGGCCCACTCGGACTGCGCTGGATTCCCCTTTCGCTTAGGCTGGCTGTCAAATCTGCCAACTTGCTGCAGCCAATCCACCTCCCGCACGCGACAGAGGCTTGCAGCCGCTGGTTGGGACGATCTGGCCGATCTGACTGGCTGCCACCAACCTGCTAAGCGCCTGTGTGGATTGAATAGTTCCTGTTTCACTCTCACGAACATTGCTGTCTTGGATCTGAACCGCCTGGACGAGAAAGCATATATGAGCAGCAAGACATCTGTCTCAACGACCATGATGGATCCCTCCACCACCCTCATTACCTTTTTACTGTGAGTTGGAGACATCTCCCGCTTCCTTCGTTATCTTCCCTTTGTTATTGCTCCCTTTCATTCAACACGGGTCTCGCTGGCTGAGACACACCCTTTACATCATCATCACTTTGATCCTACTCGGTTTCATCGGGACCTGAGGCCCCGCTTTTTCGTTTCCAAAGCAAGTCCTCCAGGCAAAAGAGTCACTCAAGTTACTCACACCCAAAAAAGGGCTGAGGATTGAGCCTCGGCTGCCTCAGCATCTCACTCGGGCAGCGCCTGAGCTTCGTTCGCCGTGCTTTACGCGCACCTTTTTCTGCCCGCCTGTGCTTTTCTTCACTCGCCTTCTAGTCTCGCCTTGGTTAGTTTGACAGCTTGCTTTTTCCTCTTCTCTCATTTATGCGATCCGGCAAGGATTATTTTTATCCACACCTGCTCGAGTTGAGCTGGGCGATGGACTGACTGAACCCTTGGCTTGGGGACATTCACGCGTATCTCAGCCTTAACACGCCCCTAACACTCATCCACTGACCCCATGTCATTCACTTTCCTGCCTCATACACGCATCTATGCATTTTCCTCAGGTCATTTTGTTGTGACCGGTCATTTCCGACGCTCGTCATCAGAGGAGACCCGATTTGCAGCCTAGGATCTTGAGATTCATGGAGATGGCCCCCAGTTCCGTGAATTAGAATGTCCTGCTTCAGGCAAGGTTGCCGGGGTCAAATTTGGAAATTGGCGCGTCTCAGAGCACAGGGTTCCCCGGAATGGCCGTCATAATGGGATGGAACCTTCCTCGAATTTCACCCTCAGCACTGCGCCCGCCTCGTACCCAAGTCTCCCTGATCATAATCAAACACGAGCCAGCACAACCCAGCCTGTGGCTGTGGTGACTGTCACCGTGACCGTCACTGCGTTGCCCAGCCAGCCTGGCCACGTCAAACCTGCACCCTTGCCCCCTTTCAGTTAAACTGCATGTCGCTGGCTCTCAATTCACCCTGGCAATCTGACCTTGCGCTGACCGTTGTGCCTCTGTAGCCAAACGGACCCCGAAGTCCAAGCCGTTGACCTAGTTGGATCTTGGGATAACTTTTCGTCCCACTACCCGATGGAGCGTGATTATCGCCGTGGCCCCGGTCAATGGAAAGGCTGTCATCTTTTTCGGGACATCATCTGCAACGGTGACCTGAACAAGACACGACATGGGGCCCTGCAAATGGGTCACACCTACTACTACTACGTGCGTAGCCTCCTTCTATACCAAGCATTGATTATAACATCCTGCCTCCCTCTATAAGACAACTCACCTCCCCATTCTCCCTCCACTTATTGTCATGCATGATACGACTTTTGATCTCTGGACTGACATATCCTCGACTTGACAACAGTACGAAGTGGATGGGTCCACTGAAACTTACGATCAGAATATGCCGTCAACTACAGCTTGCCCATATATGCCTGGACAGACCGTCAACACATTGACCGTTCCAACCCAACAAACTCTACGCCAGAGGAGCGTATCTCTCAGCTCAATGAGAATCACCGACTACACCACCATGAACCCGGACGCCAAGTTCCTCCCTCCCCAGCCAATGCTCCCCTCAATGGCTGAAGGTGTCGAGGTTCGCAAGCGAACTGCCCCATCCCTATTCCGTCCTGCGGCACCTCGATCGCGTTCGCCTTCACCAACCTGGAAGCGATTCTTTCACCACAAGTCCAAGGACGACGAGCGTGGCCGCTCTCGGGATCGCGACGAGGACAACTTGAGACCATCCACCGCCTGTGACGACAACCGCAGCGCCGCCTCTTCAAGTAGAAGCCGAAATCGTTCGATATCCCCAGAGTCGCTACGCCGCTTCTTGACCGAAGACCCTCCATCCAGACCTGGATCGAACCGTAGCGAGCGTCCGACGCTTGTTATCCCCGAGGATATTGCAGAGGAGAATGAGGATGATGATAACTTTGCAACATCCGCCATCTCGGAGTATCCTCCCTTTGCCATGGGTTTGTCACCGCCCCCAGCACAGCGCCCGACGACTCCTCGTGAGTCGGCGCCCTTGACATCCAAGAACCTCAGCTCCCTCACACTGGAGACATTGTGTCCTCCCAGCCGGGGTCAAGATACAAGGGGGAAAGACATTGTTGAAAAGGAGATGCCCTCGCTTGAGATCCCAACTCAGGCGCCCAGCACCGTTTTGACTTCTGCTGCTTCAAGTGTCATGGCCTCCCCGCTCTCGGCTCTGACACCTGATGAGGAGATGCTCACCTTCTATGACGACTCCAACGACGAGGACGAGGAGGTCCCGGCTTCCGCTCCTGAAGGAGGGCTGTCCGTTCCCCGCAAAGCTGTTCCCCTTCGGTCGCGTTTCACTGGCTACAGCCTGCCACAGCAGGGTGATAACCGAAAGAAGTTTGAACTCCAGGCAACTGGTGCGCGCCTCAACCCTCCAAGCCTCATGGCCGAGCCATTGAGCCCTGCTGATACTCTTTCGAAGGTTCTTCTCTCTCCAGTGGACACCGGTCTGGATGATTTTCTGAGTGAGTTGGGCCTTATTGTCGATACAGTAGGCACCAAGAACAACTGATTGGCCACGATTCACGGGGAACATCCCCCAAACCACCCCCTCACCTACATCATTGTACACCAACACTACTCTCGTGGGCTCGCACCCCTCCAACCCACTTTGATTTTTGATTACTTAAGGGGCATGGACCCCAGGCATTTATCATCATCTCAAGATTTTGATTTTGATTTCAAGACGAGCGATTTGCATCAGAACAAGGCGTTATACAACAACTTTGGCTTTTTCACCCTCAACACATAAACAATACATCGGATGGTAGCGCAAGCGAGAGGCACGGCTTTTTTGGGTTTATCTGGACGATCATGGCATATCGGTGGTTCCTCTTTCAGGGCAATAGAAGGGAATCTAGAAAAAAAAAGGGGGATTCACATGTAATTTTTTGGGCTGGGCAGAATGACATAGATATGGCCACGAGGCTGGATGGGTTGTCCACAGGACTGGACCGAAGCAAGCTGGGCTTCTTCTAGATTTTTTTTTTTTTTTTTTGTTTGGAGGAAGAAGATTCAGTACTGGTCGATTTGGCCAGGAGCCATTCGTCTTGGGTAGTAATGCATGAGCCTCATCTCCAAAACTTCAAACTTTCCGTCCGATTATTTCCGGTGATATCTTGTGTGATCATGTTTCTCAAGGGCTGTGCAAGCAGGGTATCTATCCTTCATACATACATGTAGTACAATCCAGTCATAAAATATTAACGTAACATATCAACATAGGGTGTCCAGGAGCTATGCCTCGGTCTCTACAGGTTTAGGCTTATTGGGTGAGTCTTGTTGCTGTTCGGGCTGTGGCTTAACATCCTCTAATGGAGGTTCTGGCGCTGCCTGTTCCGTCTTGTTCGCGCGGGCGGCCTCTTGATCGGCATTTCCCTTTTCACCGGCCTTTTCTTGTTCCTTGGGCTGACCCTCCTCTTTCTTGGGCTCCTTCTTTGGACCTGGAGCATTCGGGTTCAAGAACCGCTCCGGCACGCCGCTTGCAGCATTCTTGCCACTACCGACCCAGGAGCCGAGCAGTTTGCTCCATCGGTAGTCGCCACGCTCAAGTCGGCGAATCTCACCATAGGCGTGCGCGTTATAGAAAGGAAGCCCGGTCTCGGGGTCACGGTAGCGAGCTGGGTGGTTTGTGATGACGCAGAGCGGGTGGGGAGGAGGTTCTGGCGAGATATGTAAGCGGTATTGTTTTAAATATAGAATCAATGACCATGTGATGATCGGACTAAAATGAAGGGGGGATATCAACATACTGGCTAATTTGTTCATTTTGCGACCAAATAGGATTTGGACTTGGATAGACTTGTCCTTGAGGGCAGTATCATCAAAATTTTGATAAACGATGGCGTTTCGCGTGTAGGTCGAGCCTTCTTTCTTCTCCTGTGGTTGTTCGGAAGGAGTCGTGGTGTCAGGGGGGTTCTCAGGTGTACTCTCCGGCGCTGATAGGTCTGGTTTTTTTTCAGACGCTTCCTTTTTCGCAGGTGTGTCTTCCACGAGTTTCTCTTCACTGGGGTTTTCAACTGCGGGTTTGTCGTCTGCCGGCTTGGCATCAACGGGCTTGCTATTTGACAACTCGTCTCCTGGGGGTGTAGTGGTTTGTGCCGGATCTGGAAGTGGTTGAGGGCTTTGAGAGGAGTCTGGCGGGGCTAGAATCTGGGACTTAGAATGATTTATCCCCGGATTTGAGGAGGAAGATTGGTCCACATCCATTCCCACGGGAGGTGCAAGAACTGGCGCATTGAGTTTATTGTCAGGGTTCGATTCGCCTGGTTGTAGCGGGAGCGAACTAGAAGGCGGAAGGGCTGGAGGAGCTAGACTATCGGCTGATGAAGCATCATTGCCGGTGGATGTTGTAGCCGGTGGAGCTTGCAAGGTTGAGGCATCCTTTGTTTCTTGTGGTGCTGCTGTTTCTCCAGCTGTGCTGGTCTTGTTGTCCGTCCCCGGTTGTTCAGGTGCTGGCGTTGCTGCTGGCGTTGCGGATTCAGATGGCTTGGCGGCTGACGTTTGTTTCGATTCCTCCTCTACTGTCGATTTTGCTGGCGCAGAATCTTGGGGCTCAGCCTTGTTGTTGTTACTGTCCTCGCCGGTTTCTTTCTTTCTCGCATCCTTCTCGGCATCCTGAGGGTCCTCCTCTGGCACCTCCTTTTTGTCCTTGTTATTATCCTTGCCCTTTGTTTTATCTTTCTTTTCTCTGGGCTTCTTCTTTGGCTTTTCTTCCATGACGACATATCTTGCCGCTCCGCCGTCCTGCCATTCTCTGGTGCCGCTCCAGAATGTGATGACAGGGCCTTTTAATGTCCTCTCATTGAGTGCTGCCAGCTTTGCCCTCCTCTCCTCCTCCCTCTGCTTTTCAGCAATCTCCCAGCGATTAAGACTTTTGCTGTTCCGCTTTTCCACAATCTCAGCCTCGCGAAGCCGCTCTTCTTGTGTCATGGGTGGTTTCTTCAACGCCTCCATCCTGGCTGCCTTCTTCTGCATCTGGGCCAACTGCTTGAGACGCCGGGCCTCGCGCTCTTCCATCTGCGCATGTAGCTGCTCTTTGGAGAGCCTTGTGGTCTGTCGAGAAGACGCACGTGTTGGCATGTCGGCAGCCGAGGGGAGCCATGATGAGCGTTCCGACTTCTTCTTGGGTCGAGGCCCCGGACCCGAAGCCGAGGACGGAGCTGGAGAAGGTGTTGTCGTCGTGTCGATGCGCACCTTTTTTCTGAACTTGACGGGAATCGCTTCCTGTGCTTTCCTTTTTCGCTGAGCGTTGCGCTTTTCCCGAGCCTGGCGCTCCAGCTCCTTCTCGCCCTCCATGTCATCTTCGGCTGCGTTTTCGTCCTCGTCATCCGAGGAGGAGTCCATGTGGACGTCGGAGGCATCGTCGCCAACATCAGTGAAGCCTTGATCATCATCGTCCTCGGCAAAGAGAAGCTCTAGATCAGAGTCAGGCTCCTCGTTTGCCAGCATCGCCTTCATACGATTGCCGGCTGTGGAACGTTTCTCTCGCGCGGTGGCGAGCCATTCTATTGATTGTCTGATTGGAGCCTCATCATGGTCGGAACTGTCGCTGTCGCTAGATGAGGGCGGGTCGATATGTCCAGGCAATTTCGACTCGGAATCCATCGTGAACGTCGGTGGGGAGAGTCGGATATTTGAATGGAAGAATGGAAGGTATGGACTCGCGTTGTAAGATTAAAGAAAAAAGAGGGATAGAAAGATGATCACATGGCTCGAATTAGTTATGCGATAGTGCATAGATGGGAGCAAGAAATGATCATATAGATGTCGTCTGCAACAAGCAATCCAAGGTGGATGATGATGGCAGTCAAATAATCGATGCCTCATCCAGCGCCAGTAGTGGAAGTCTTACTGACCAGAAGGACAGGAACTCTGGGTCTGATTAATGGGCTTGTGCCAGTACGCAGATGTAAATGCGGAATACACGTAATTTTGGGGACCATAATCCCGGTCTTTTGTACACAGTACCAATTGCACTAGCTCTCCACTGTACCTGCCACTTAGCCGACACGGTCGACACGTCCACTGTAGCGCGCGCCGCAGTTTCTCGACCTGGCGCGCGACAACCGTGAAGCTCAAATTTGAATCTCCAATCTCCAATTTTTAGCCAAACCCAACCACGCAACCATCTCCTGCCATCACGAGTTGTGGAAGGGTGATTGATAGTATTTCCGGTCGCCTGAAAATCAATCAACCATGACTGCGATGTAAGTTTTCCTTCTCCTTTGTGTCGACCACGACGTCGTTGGCCGCATCCATCCTCGCACGACAGAGAGCTGGAGCTAAATCGTCGCGAACCATCTAGTGAGAGCTTCGACAACATCTATCTCGATCTCTCCAAGGAGAGCGGGAAGTGCAGGTTTGCAGAGACCGGTTTTGGCTGGAAGCCTGCCGGTGGAGGCGACACCTTCACCCTCGATCACAGCAACATCGGCGGCGCCCACTGGAGTCGCGCGTCCAAGGGATACGAAATCCGGATCCTCCAACGCAATTCATCGGCCATCATTCAACTCGACGGTTTCCAGCAAGAAGACTACGACCGCCTAAGCAAAGTCTTCAAAAACTGGTACAGCACTGCGTTAGAAAACAAAGAGCATGCTCTGAGAGGCTGGAATTGGGGCAAGGCCGAATTTTCCAAGGCTGAGCTCACTTTCAACGTACAGAACCGTCCCGCATTCGAGATCCCATATTCGGAGATTGGAAACACAAACTTGGCGGGCCGAAACGAGGTTGCTGTTGAGATATCATTACCTTTGAACGCAGAGGACACCGGCACCAATGGCCACCTCGGTGGTGCTAGAGGCAAAGGAAAGAAGGCCGGTGCAGGCAAGGACCAGCTTGTGGAGATGCGATTCTACATTCCAGGAACGACGACGAAGAAAGAGGCTGAAGGCGAGGACGCAGCCAGTGATGCAGCTGAGGAGGAGAAGAATGCCGCCACTTTGTTTTATGATACCCTGATGGAGAAAGCCGAGATTGGAGAGACTGCCGGCGATGCTATTGCTACCTTCCTCGACGTTCTGCACCTCACGCCCAGGTACGGCATTCACTCCCCGATACTTGTTTTGAAAACCCTACTGACCCTCCCTTTATAGAGGACGTTTCGACATCGACATGTACGACTCGTCATTCCGTCTCCGTGGTAAAACATACGATTATAAGATCCAATACGAGGCAATTAAGAAGTTTATGGTCCTTCCCAAGCCAGACGAAATGCACTGCATGCTGTGTATTGGTCTCGACCCACCTCTTCGCCAGGGTCAGACTCGCTATCCATTTGTTGTCATGCAGTTCAAGAAGGACGAGGAGGTTACCATTGACCTCAACCTCGAGGAGGAAGAGCTGCAACAGAAATACAAGGAGAAGCTGGAGCCTCACTACGAAGAGCCCTTGCATCACGTTGTTGCCAAGATCTTCCGAGGATTGGCTAACAAGAAGATTTCGTCTCCTGCCAAGGACTTTATCACGTATGTCACGTCTACGTTGCTTCCACATATTGCATTGGTTTGAAAATCAGCGCGCTAACCGAACTCAATAGTCACCGCAACCAATACGGCATCAAGTGTTCCATCAAGGCCAGCGAAGGTTTCCTTTACTGCTTGGAGAAGGCCTTCATGTTCGTGCCAAAGCCAGCCACTTACATTGCCTACGAACAGACCCAGTCCATTACTTTCTCTCGTGTTAGTGGTGCCGTATCCGCCCTTTCTACGTTTGATATCAGCGTCGTCATGAAGAACGGCGCTGGCTCCTCGCAGTTCAGCAACATCAACAGAGAAGATCTCAAGGCTCTGGAGGCCTTCTTCAAACTCAAGGGTCTTCGGGTTAAGAACGAGATCGACGAGGATGCCAATCTTCTCGCTGCAGCTCTCCGTGAGCAGGACATGGATGACTCAGAAGAGGAGGTCGTCAATGCCAAGGCAGACCGTGGCTCGGCCGACGAGGATGAGGAGAGTGTCGATGAAGACTTCCAGGCTGACAGCGAAAGCGATGTCGCCGAGGAGTTCGACTCGGCCCACGAGAGTGATGGTTCCGGCAGCGACAGCGAGCAGGGGGAGAGCGGTGTTGATGACGATGATGTGGACGACGACGAGGAGGAAGAGGAAGAGAGACCAAAGAAGAAGAAGAAGACCAACTAAAGTTTACCGGGCGGTGGTAAAAAGCGACAGTCGAGGTGACTGGTTAAGCTGTAATTTGATGGTTTTTTTATGCAGTCTGGCTTTTACTTGAAGGTACTCGAAAAGAGGGTAAAGTTGAAGGCACTTTAAGCGAAAGGGTGCGGCGTTCCGGATGGAAGAACACAATTAGTCTCGAGGATTTAGAGAGATTTGTATATTTGTATACCAAGCAATTCTGGCAACATGTCTTCTTCGTGTTAGCACTCGTCTGCTGCAGTCGCCTGCTTACTTCGCTCATCGCTCGTCCGACCAAGTACAAGGAAATGAATACCGGTACGAGTACATCATATTTACTCAACTGTTTAGAGACGTCACTTGGCCTAGAAGAAGGACTATCAAGATTTCGAAATTTTTTATCAAGCTCGGCAGCTCTTTGTTTTAAATCTATATCCATCCTTTCGCACCTTTTTATTTACTTGAACTACATCGTCATGATCCATCATCATTCATCGGCCTCTCTAGAAATATCAGGCCTCCATCGACAGTGAGGAGTAAAAATAATCCAACAGTGAAAAAAAAAAAAAAAAAAAGTGGCTAGCGACCGTCTATGCCTTTTGGAGGGGACGGCTCACTTCAAAAACCAAATCCCCGGTCCTTCCCACGTCCATATACTCACGAACGGATACTCCAGATCCATCAGAGTAAGTCACAATTATAGTTAGCCCAAATGTGTAACTTTGATCCCCGGTTCAGCATGAAATGCTGCTCATCTTCCCATCCCGGGACGACAACGCCAATAATAAACGCCAATAATGAAATAAACGAGTGTGTTTTGTACAGATACCCCGTCTGATGGTTGTAATATGTCAATGAAACGTCGTGGCAAGATACGCGGTACTATATGCACCCTGGTATCGCATCCTGTGTGAATGATGCACACGAAAAGCTCCAGATGAGCTTCACGGTGGCGTAGATGTGTAATACTATAAAAATAGTTGCTGGGCTTAGATTCGGTCTCCTGTACCTTTGACTGGTGCCCGGGGGAATAAAGCGTATTGTCCAATAGGTGGAGTGACCTGAGCGCTTAAGCTAGAGGTTCTTGCTCGTGGACGCCGGGGCTTCGCCATCTCCTGGGCTTGCAAGGCCGAGCGGTCAATGCTTTCGCTCGCATGACTCTTATGGAAGGGCTTCTTTGCAAATGGGGGAACGGGGAATGGCGTCAGGTCACTGACGGTATCTTTAGACCCCAGCTCCTCATCCTCGACCTTGTCGTTATCATCCAACTTGCTATCTGCAGACTGGTTTGATTGCTCATCAGCTACAATACCGGCCACCTTGTTCAGCGAGGTGGTGCTGCTGCTCATCGTCAAGCGAGTAAGGGTAGTAAATGCCGAGTTGGCCGAGACATGGCGCTCACCAGTAGTATCCGATGAGAAGACTGTCTCAGTTGTTGAGGTGCTGGATCGCTGCAGGTAAGATTGGAGAGGTTCTTTACCCATCGCATCATCATGATAAGACCCCCGATAAGCCTCATCATATACCTCATTCTCTCCCTGGTACTCGTACCTCTCAGATTCTGTCATCATCATCTGCTGGTGATAATCGCCAGGGATGAGAAGAGACGGTGAGAGGTTGAAGCCCTGAGACTCTTTGTAGGTCGAAGCATATGAGGTGGGGCGGGTGCTCTTCGATTTCCATGCGCGATTGTCGCCACGGGGCAGAGAGAAGTTGTTGGTAGGCATCAAATGGGGAGTGCTACCAACGCTCGCGTGACCAGCAGCGCTCGAGGCCCGGCTGGAAAAGCTCGACGTCGGCTCATCGATGAAGAGTGTCGAAGTAAAACCAGGAGCCGCCACTGAGGCATAGCCAAGAGCTTCTGGCGTCTTCTTTGATTTAGGCGACTCAGGAGGGAGGTCGCGGCTAACATCCATTGAGGGACGATCCCATTGGTAATCGAAGTTAGCTTCAGCCTCATGCTCATAGCAATAATCGATAACATCTTCCCAATTATCCTCGAGCATATGACCGGCGGCGTCTCCCGCTGCGTCCGCGTCCACGGCACGTGGGGCCACTACTTCTCCTAGAGTATCTGAAGTAGCACTCGACGGTCGCCCTAGGAAATTTCGAAGAATTGGAACAGAGTGGCTGCCGCGTAATGACTGCCGCGATTGTTCACGAGCGCTCTGCTGCTGTTGCTGTTCCTCCTCCTCTGGCACGTCAGCAAGCGGTTGGTCATACAACAACGGAGAAGCTGCCGCTGAGAGAGGCCAGGCGGTGTCACCAGCGGTAGTAATGGCATGCGAAAACCGTCTATCATTGTCTTCATTGCTGGTGCCCACATCAGGCGCGGGGGAGGGCGTCTGATCATTGCCAAGGCTAGGGCTATACGGCTGTGGCTGGCGGAAACCAGCCGCTTGCATTGCGCGAGAAGCTGCTGAACCAAGCGTATCTGGCAGGGCAGATTGACGACTCGATGACCTGGGTGGTACAGGGGGTGAGGGCACATCAGACGAAATTGGTGATAGAGGAGGTGAAGTAGCCATTGAGCGAAGTTGATCTTGTGACTTGGCCGTCTTGAGCAATCTTCTGGGCCCAGTGACTGGCATGCCGTGACGCGGAACGAAGGATGCCCGTGACGGGGGTGCCGACAAAGACGGTTCTGTGTCTAGGGATTCTGATGATCCTTTGAAGAACGGAGCGTCGTGTAGTCCAAGGCCGGGAACGCCAGCAGACGAGACCGCGTCGCCGTAAGTGCCCAAGTCTGATATATCCGATGGCATGGTTGACAAGTGGCCGCGGTTCGTGTGTGTGACGTGCTGGAAGTTGAAAGGGCCTGATATTTGAAGCTTTCTCTGGGCGCTGTCATCACGCGATTGCTTTCTCCTCGTGAAAATATTGGGGATGATTGAATCCTTGAAGCCAGTCTCGGTTGGTCCCTCTGCCGAGTACATGGAGCTGCCAGACGAGCTGTACGGGCTGCTTGTGCGCTTGGACATCTGAGAAGTGGCGGTGTTGCTCCGCTGGAAAAAGGTACGGCCAAGTGCTTGCACGCTCTCTCGCTCTGAGCGACCTCGAGAAGGCGCATTGCTATCGCTAGAGCGGCTGGAAGAACGGCGGGTTAAAGAAGATGTGTTTTCGATTGACTGTTCCCATTGGGGTCTATCGATGCCAATGGCACGGCGAGGCGAGGAAGCCGACGAAACGGTTCGGTGGCCTTGGGTCCGGTTCATGTTTGAAGCTCGTTTCATCTGGTTGCTGAGCTGGCGAAGGCGCTCGGGTGAGGGCGGACCATCAACGGCAGGTTCCATCATGTAGTCGATATCAGGGTTGTAAGGCTCAATGGGGCTTATTGAGGTCAAGGATGGCTTTTGACCGTGCGACGTGAACGGTTTAGAGAAGGATGTCTTCAGACCGTCTCTACTAGCAACGCGCCGACGTCCCCCTTCAAGTTCAGACGGAGGCATTGCGGCGGTACACGAGCGAACCGGCTTGTTTCAGCGCTGGAGCAGAGGGCGACGAGCAAGCGTGCCCTCTGGGCTATTATACACTGCGATCCAGGGTGGTCGAGGCGTTCCCAGTTGGATGCGACTTTGTGTATCATATATGTCTCGGCTGTCTGTTGACGAGGGCCAGCTCCGGAACCTAAATTGCGTGTGCGGGTGGGTAGCTGCAGGTTTCACCACCAAAAAAATTTAAGAGAACGAGTCTAAGTGAGACTTAAGTCGAGGATCGGGCTGGAGGATTCAGGTTGGAATCCAGACAAAGTTTGGCGAAAAGGAAGGACGGGTAGCAAGGTGGTGCGGAAGGCGGGATGGACAATCGGCTGGGAGGGATTCAGGAACCTGAGTTGGAGAAGGAGCCAGCACGTCTGAAGCCCATGACAAGGAAGGTAAGGCACTATAAGGTATGTATACAGGCAGGAGCTCACAGCACGCAGCAGCCAGGTGAAAGAGCTAGAGAATGGACTGATGCTGTGGGGAGACGGGATAGAGAGAGCAGGCATGCACCTCCATGCACCCTCGTCCAGGATGACGGGGGTAGTGGTGGAATAATAACAAGCTACAATAATGAACGCGACCTTCAGGCTCAGGGGGGTCCCTGTCGCGAGGGGGTCCCAGGTCCGTAGCAGACCAGGGCCCCAGGAAGAGGCTTGAATTGCATCAATCTGGTGGATGCCGAGAAGGGGAATCCCACCAGGCCAGAAAAGGCACAGACAGCTCCAGTTTGGCCCGGGATGGAGCCAGGAGGCCCTAGTACGAGGCTACGAGGATCCAGGGCCCAGGGGTAATAAAAAAGGCACTCTCTAGAGTGAGCAGTTTGCAGTCCCTTGGCTCCCCTAGAGTGGCCTAGTCGACGAGCCATGCCAGTGGTGCGGGGGTAGTTGCTAGAGCTGCTACCTGCCGGGCCATTGCAGTGCTGCTCAACGTAGCAACGTCGCTCCTCGATAACAGCCCGCCTTGCTCGTGAGCTTGGCCCGCTTTCTTCACCTCCGTCTTAGCTCCTGGTCCTGGTCCTTGCCCTCGCCTCGCCTCGCCTTCGCCTTCGACAGCTGCGCTCCCGGTCCTGGCCGCCCGAGGCCTGGAGGATGATCTGGGGGATTGGCGTCTCATAGCAGGTTACGGATCGAGGTGAAGCGGTCGGCGTGCAGCTGATTGGGTTCGGGCAAGCCAGCGGGAAACGGGTATGGGTAAGGTCCTTCCAACGGGCCATCGTGAATCCATCGTTCCAGGGGTACCAGTTGCGTCCGCTTCCTTGGGTACCTCCAGCAGCTAATTGCCCGTCCACCACCTACCTAACCTACAGCCACCCACCTGTGAAGATGGTGTAGAAGCTTATTGCCCGATGCCTCCCAAAAAGCGAGCTGGGATTGGCCCAACAGCATATTTTCAGCCAGTCATGGTGCGAAGAATAGGTGGTTGGGAGGGAGGGGTGAGGCTACCTTGACACAGGATGTCGTATTGGTGACAGCAAACCCCACGGAAGGGTGAGGCGTGGCATAAACGAACGGCATATACACCAAC